GGCGAAATTGCTTGCTAGCCTAAATAGATCGCGAAGAGTGCTGGTCTCATCGTACATCGGAAATTGTAACAGCTGTTTGGTTTACGCGAAACAGACAGGAGACCTGGTGTTAGCGAGACCATACGCAACGAGAGTGGACAGCCGATCCACAGTCTGTCATAACGCTTGGAGCGTTGGGCCGAACACTACAAGACAGATTAACCAATCTGAGTTATCGTTTCCTTTTTCGGTCATTAAGTGCCCTTCTTTCTGGGCCGTCTCCTTGGATCCACCCACACGCGCCTAAGTCGAACGTTAGATCAGACGGTTGAAATTGCATAAGCCCGTAGGGGCCAATAGAATTCCCGCAGCCCTCTTCAAACCCGGAGACCGTTCTTGTAGATGATTTGCACGAGTTTATAGTGAAACTTTAGGCGCTTGAAACTGTCCCGACAGACTGGAACCGCTTCGTCATAGTTCTAATTTTCCAGGGAGGCAATTATAGAGGGATCAGTCAGATCTCAAGCGCCTTTAAATTGCTTGCATCTGTCATTCTTCCAAGACTGACTGGCACTTTTGGATGCCAGATCTGCGAAGAGCAAGCTGCGTTTCGTCGAGGTCGGGGCCGCATCGACCGCCATGTTTATTGGCGACCCACCGTGGTCGTGTTTTTCGACATTAACGGTACCTTATATTCATTTGATCGATGTATTCTATGGGACTGTTTGCTGAGGAAAGGCGTTCACGATAAAAGCGTAAACATTACCAAAGCGCTGTGCGTGCATAGTTCCGGCAGAGTGAGGGTTTATGGCAAGCTGTCACCACACTTCCATATCTCCCGCGGTATGAGACAAGGTTGCCTGCTTTCAGCTTTCCATTTTAACTTCGCCATTGACGAAGTCATGGAAACAACGTTCGCTGGACACAGCTAACAAGGTGTTGAGCTGCTTCCTTGTGAGCGACTTATTGACTTGGAGTATGCGGACGACATTGCTCTCATACGTAACAGCATCCAAACGTGTCAAACGGCACTGGACCGATTAGCATTGGCTACCAATGGTTTTGGGCTATGCTTTGCTCCATCGAAATGCATGGTCCTTCTCCCTTATTGGCGAAAACCCACTCCCGCTCTGACTCCTGGTGATGATAATCTAGAAGTCAGGAACTCAACTACGCCGGCAGTTATATTAGCGACTGTGGAATTGGAGATGAGGTCGTATACCGTATAGCAAAAGCTCGAGATCTCCGCCACCTGTGGCGCAGACGCGACATTGCTCTTGCTCTGAAGGGCAGAGTTTATAATGCAGCCGTCCGTTCAACCCTCATACGGTTGAGACCTGACGCATCGGGTCGACAGACATAAAGAGGCTAGTTATGTTCGATCATTTCTGTCTTCGCAGCTTAGCTCATGTCTGGTGGAAACACCGTGTAAGCAATGAACTTGTTCGGCGTCGCGTATTTGGTGCAGGAAGAGCGAGTGAATTGCTCAGCACCATTGTATCACGCACCACACTCCGATGGCTGGGCCACGTATTACGCATGCCAGTACACCAACTCCCGCGACGTGCATTGCTTGCGCGCCGGGGGCGCGGTTGGAAAAGGAGGGGTGGCCAAGCGATAGCTTGGTCGAGAGAAATGTAAACTCTCACTTCGAAGCTGGCGTCGGTTGGTGCACTCCGACTGCCTGGTTGGGGTCCTAAGGACGATGAACGATGTTTGGATGGATGAACAGTTAGAACGTCTATGCCGAAACTGTTTTAGGTACGCTATCACTCAAATAAGTCGGTCGGTGGCCAAAAATATTGTACCCTCACGTTGTAACCACAAAGTCACCGGTTCAAATCTGCGATGGTACGAGCCATTTCGCGGTACGCCCAACTCTTGCATGACTAGTGGTCGCGTGGCGAAGCGTCGGTATGGTGTGCCAGCGTACTGGCGATGTTTTTTACCACCCGTAAAATTCCCAGATGAAACCTAGCAGAACCCTTATTCAAACCAGAGCCAACAGGTGGTCTCCACCTAGTTTTTACTGCACTGGTTAACGGACAAAGTATTCTAGTCATTGTGCATGCTTTCAGCAAGTGGCGAGAAATTTTCATCATCGTCCTGACGAACCGTATTTATTACCAAACTGCGATAACTGTTCTCCACTTTTTCGTTTTCTGGAGACAATTGTGTCCGACAACGGCGCCAAGTTCACTCCCCACTAGTTCGCTGATTTCACAGTAAGAAGAAATCATTCATACCAGAGCGCATTTTTTCCGTCCACTGTCAAATGGACACTATGGAAGATCTATCGACGCATTTAAACGCACCATGGTGAACAAACAATAACGTAACTACTGGACGCATTCCTATTGAATTACAGAGGCACAGTAAGTCTGCGAAGTCTGAACGGCTATTTCCTCTCCGATGCTCTGCTAACCAGACAATTTCGGCAGACACACGACGTTAATCAACCAGCTTGTGACCGAAAGTCGGATATCGCTCAACAACGGACGCTACGGCGAAGGGATCGTGTGCTAGTCAGAGACTAATGCTATGGCTATACATAGTGGGTTGTCAGCATCATTGTAAAGCCGGCTGTGCATGTTATGCACCACATCCAGGTGAGTCCACTGCTGTGGAAGCGCTACGCAAACTAACTCCAGCGGACGTTTCATTGTGATTACAAGACTGGCCTAGGATCACCTAGCCTTGCTTTTGGGGACATTCGAACTGGAAAGGCCCACGAAGGTTGGAACGGCTCCCAACTTAGTGCTGACGACAGACATCACACTCCAGCCCAGACGCAAATCCAAGCGTGCACGGAAGCCTGTGTATCTGTTCCAGATTGACCGCAAACGGCGATCGTACCCTGAAAAGTCTTGTGCGAAGTACTGGGAAAGTGCGTTTCATGGAGCGGGGATCGATGAAACTCGCGACCAGATGTCGAAACAAGCATATGCCCCAAAGTTCAGAACAACCTGACGCCCAAGACATCAGTAGTACGCTGGTAGGCGGTACCGATACTTCGCTGCTGCACAGGCACCACCAGTCGCCTGTAGATTAAGCATACTGAGGGTCAACCGGTACCCTCCGCAGACTGGATCCTGCGATCTGTGGATTACAAGACGGACTTGTGATCCTTAAGGCCACGGGCCGTCCCAAGGGTCAAATCAAACGCATCGACCGATAGACACCCTTGATCAATCGAGCTATAGCTAGAAGGTCTGTGTCTGTGCAATTGACTCATGTCTTCTTGTTTGATAGACTTCAGCTTACTCTGTACTCGCATTCTGTTTTTCCTTTGTGCTGACGGTTGATCTGCTTTAGAAGTTCGAAGTAATGGGGATCGCCTTCACACGACACGACTTAGAAGGTGTGCAGCTGCTCCCAGACGAAGAAATTCTTGACTTGAAATATACTGACCGTATTGCCCTAATCTGTGACAGCTCACAAACGCGCCAAGCGGCACTGGACTATGATTTCTGCCCTCGAAGTGCAAACCTTTCCTCCAAGGTTGGCAGGGACCCCCTCCTGTGCTGACCCTTGGTGGGGATCAGCTGGAACTGGTTCACCAAATCAACTACCTGGGAAGTTGTATCAACGCCCTTGAGATCGAAGGCGAGCTCACGAACCGTCTAGCAAAAACTCGAGGCGCTTTTGATAACCTACGCCACTTATGACGCTGACGCGACATCACTATCTCTCTGGAGAGTAGAGTGTACAATGCAGGCGTCCGTACAACTCACCTTTACGGCTGTGAAACCTGGACCATTAGATCAGCAGACTTTAGGCGGCTAGTTACGTTCGACCATCGGTGCCTTCGCAGTTTGGCTCACATCTGGTGGGAACACCGCGTGAGCAACGAGCGTGTTCGATGCCATGTTTATGGCATAGGATGAGCAATTGAACCGCTCAGCACCGTCATTTCACGCACCAGGCTCCGATGGCTAGTCCACGTGTTGCGCATTCTAGCCCACTGACTACCGCGACGTGCGTTGTTTTCGCGTCGGTGGTGTGGATGGACGGAGAGTAGGAGTTGCCAAGCGATTACTTGGTCGAGAGCAGTGAAGGCCCTTACTTCGATCTTGATTTCGGTTGGTGCCTCTCGGCTCCCTGGTTGGGGTCTGGAAGATGATGAACACGTTTGGCTGGATACACTCGCTGAAATGGCTAGGGGCCAACCTCAGGTGCATTCGCGCTGTGGTTTTCTTTATCCTACCCCATCTCTCTATGACTCCCCTTCCAACCACGATCTCATTTCTTAGCATAGCTTTTATACAAAATCATTTTTTGACTGCATAATAGCCAGCAGATAGTTTTCAGAACGATGCCCATCCGTTGCTGGCAGTTCAGCTGGCGTTCACCTGTTTGTATGTTTTTCTTTTCGTGTGATTGTATCACAGTAGCTGAGGTGTTTTCCACCTCTGGCTACAGTGTATAATGGTAATGAATAATGCAGTTCAATGCAACAGTTGGCTTCTTGTCGGGTTATTTGCTCATTTACACTCTACCTGCTGCTTACTGCCTACTGTTCGCAACTCCAGCTTAGTGATCTCTTATCTCTCTGCATCATTACCCGCGTCTTTCCGGATTGAGACGCTTTTATTCATGTACTTTTACTTTTGTGATTAACCTAGTTTTACTTTTTCTGTCAGTTTCTATTAATTCGTGTAATGTACATTTTTATTTAATGGTTATGCATAGACCTACCGTTATGCGTACCATAGGATCAGATTCCACACCATGCTTTATTTGTCTACGTATATACTTGTTGGTATGTGCGCATCGGAACCCACCTTGTGACTCACTCTCTCCAAACGCAATTTGATATATTCTTTCGCCAAACTTATCCACTGAACGTGTCACTGTGGACACCTTGCTACAATTGAGGGGCGATCTCGACTATATGTGTTGCGGCCATGTTTCCTTCATATTTCATTTATATTTCATTACTTACTTTATTTTTGAGCTGTTACTACTGAATATCCTACCCTTTCCTTGTTTCAGCTCCTCACCGATAAGTGCATACACCAATGGGGACTGCTTTTGAAACTGGTAAGTACCCCCCTTTTTGCTTTCTACGCCTAAGCTTATTTTTCTATCCTACTCAACTGCTCCCATTGGCTCATCAGGGTGCTTTTCTTTCTGCTTACCGTCTATTTTACCGTGAAATCCTTGCACACGCTCAACTTGTCGCTCATCAGTTGTTTTCTCAATCTTCACTCACCTCCATCGACCATGTTTTACGCGTAATTTACCAAACACTGTCGTTTGTAGCTCATTTATTCCGCATATATTCGCTTTTATGGGTAATGCTTATTGAATCTCCATTTCGTCTGGGTTTTTCCGTACTCTTCTCGTGTCTTAATTTTATCTCCAACCCAATTTAGCAAGTCCATCCTGTTGTGTTTCGGAAGACGAACTATGCCTATGCTCAAATCGGGCCCTGTAGCACTAGAGCGAACGAACGAACTACACTTGGGCGGAACACTCATACAATAATAAGAATACTAATAATAATACGTATATTTCCCGACTGTACGTGAAGCTGTCCCTGGATTGTGGACAGATCATGGGTACAATAATTATCATGCTCATGCATGAATGAAATATGTACTATGGGACGTATGACATCAAAATAATTTGGAATCACGTACCTTTTGTTGTTGCTGAGTTCTTTGTAGCATCTTTAATCAATGATTATGTATTCTTTGGTCCATCCTGAACGAACTCATGTGGTGATTTGCCCGATGGAAACATGGTCATTATCGAGTTCTGGGCAAGGAATTTGCTAAGCTGAATGTGAAGTGCTCTTGTATTTGTGCAAGACCTGATTGTGGCTGGTAGGCTGTTTCACATGACAGCGTATCTGACGAGGAAAAAGTTGGATCGGATAGCTGTCCTGGTTCTCAGCACACATAATGTACTGGTCTTGTTGCGTATATTCCGAGTGAAGTTATGTTGAATTTTAAGTGTACACAGATTGGAGTATGTCTGAGATTGTGTATCAGCACCAGGTTATGTTGCAGTCGTCGCAACCAAAGGGGCTCGAGCTTAAGCTGCTGGCAGCGCTCCTGATAACTCAAGTTGGTTGATTTACTGCACAATCGCTTAGTGAATGATCTTTGCAGGTTTTCCAAAGCTTTCTTGTCACCCATTCTCATGTTCCCATAGATGATGCTGCAGTATTCAAGAACAGGAAGTGTAAGTGTTTTGAAAAGCTCGAGTCTGGCAGGGGTTATGTAAATTTTATGGCATATGTTAGCCACAGATCGTTTGACACCGCTTAGTAGTTGATAATCTAGCTACCTCGCAACTAGCTTCACTGGCCCCAGGTACTTTGTGTCCAGTGGTCCGAGTGATTAGAAAAGCTTACGAAAATTTCTAGGGAGTGAGCTGCTGTCTCCATCTCCGAAGCGCGCTGAGACCAATTTTCGCGATCGTTACGCAGGCTTTGCTTGACTTGTTGGCTGAGGTTACGGCGGACTTACAGCCTGTATCAGCTGGGCTAGCTCGACGACGATGAAACAATTCCGAAGAGCGAGCAGAGACCCAGCCTTTCATAGGATGCCCAGCGATTCCACACTAAGATTGACCAGAAGAAAGCAACACCTGCAAGAAATTCTAGTGATTTTCGACATCTGTTGATGGGACATAAACGAGCGCATCTGATAAGCATTGCTGGGCCTGGGAAATGGACGGGTTAGCTATCCTATTGGCATCCAGCGTACGGTGCTTGGTTTCGATGAACTACCAAAGCGCGTGCAAATGTCTGCACAGACCAGAGCGTGATTTGGGTCGAGATAGGTTGATCAAATTGATCTGCAATCCCTACAGTGCCTCGTCATCAGAAGCTGATTGCAATGTGATCAATTCATGACTACGCTTGTGTTGACGAAGTGGAACGCCAAATGCCTGCGCGTCTCCTCGAATGCCTGAAGTTCGTGCTCACGAGAAAGAGCCGGTTGTCGTCACATAAACTTGGAAGCCTATCCCCGTTATCAGAGCGACCCTCATCAAGAGCATGATGGCCACCAAGATGTTCGCATGACAGCAGGTGACCGACCCGTGCATTGAAGTATTCGGCAAGCACGATGATGTCGGATGGAACGTTTTCTTCACACCGGATCTACGGAAACAGCTGTTAAGTGGTTGACAATCTGCTCGGCACCATACTTGAACAGCTCCGGAGGAAGTTCGTCTGAGTCAGCAGCTTTTGAATCGCTTGAAATAACGAAACTCAACACAGACCTCCAATTCGGTAGTTGGTTCTAGTGCAATGTTCCAAGCTACGCATGTTGCTCTGTTTGTTTGACAGGAGGAAAGAGGAAGCCAACTGAATTGAAAGGGGAGAAGACATGACCCGAATTCCTTGGTTTCCATCCATGAGGATCAGGAAGGCCATCGACTCGACTTAGTGAACATAAAGATCCTAGCACGCGGAAATCCAAAACAAGCTAGGGAATTCATGGAAACGTGGTATTCTACAGCCCCTTGTTCAATCAACCGACGCGTTTAACTAGATACTGTATACGCGGCACTTCGGATGATGGGCAACCAACTTAATCAACTACATCTGACGAAACAGAACCCCGGATATGCACGTGGGATGACGAGGTCAACTGCAGAGGGACGCGTGCTAACATCACGAGGTACGAGTCAGGGGGATCAATTTCGGTGGCCATGTGCCCGTTGAGCAATTCGAATTCGTAGTGACAGCTCGTCCACCCAAACGAACGACCACTCCTCTCACTATCGCACAGCTCCGCTCCGTTAAACACTGGCGCACTGATGATGTCACTTCTAGTGGTGATGAAACGTCTGCAGCAAAACTGCCGAGCTTGGCGAACATTTCCACCATCAATCTATCATCTCTTGCGTACATAAGCTTGGGGTTCACGTACATAGAATTCGGGTCAATGGCTACCATTTTATGGCATCCGTTTACTTCTAGAGAGCTTAGCACCGCTTTTGTAACCCAAGTTGAATTACCGAATACTTTATGGTACAGTAGTAAAGGATAGCCTTTTTGTATCCCTTTTGCACTCTTATTTGCCACGGTGATTCCAGCATTTCACTGATCTCCTCCCTCTTAGCTGATTTTCTAACCTATCCTTGTTCTTACTGTAACACGCAAGCACGGAAGAACTCCAAGGGTTGAGAATTAAGTTCTGTTGTACAACACGTAGCCTCTACAAAAGGTAATAAACACGAGCAACAAAGGAAGTTACAGTTAACCAAGGTCGTTGTGTTCTTGTTCTCCTCCGGTAATTGAGCAGGAAAGGCGCTCTGAAAGGCAAACGGGAGAGAGTGCCGTTATTGCAACGATTCAACTTTGGACGCGCGTCAAAACAGTTTCGATTCTTCTCTACACCACACCCCCTCTAATCAGGCAGCGTCCCCGTTGCCACACCACAGCCGCCCTGAGCCGGCACCTCCAGTTCAACTGCTACTTCCACAGGCGTTTCGTTCGGCCCCCCGACAGATTGGTCAGTTTTACTCCGGAATGGCTTGAGTCGATTGAAATTTACTATCATGGGTTGACTGGCAGGGTTGTTGGGATCTTTGATAACACGTCACATCCGATATCACCCGCTGTATTATGTACGGCCCTGTCCACTCATGGTGTAGCTTAACCGGAACTCCTGCCGTTGGTACCTGGTGCAAGTAAACTTGGTCGCCAGCCTTCAAAGGAGCGCCGAAAACTTTCTTGTCGTAATAGTCTTTCTGTCGTTGATGGGCGTTCCCAAGATGAAGACGTGCCGCTTGATGTGTTTGATGAAGCGAATCAAGGAGTTTGCTAACATACTCTGTCACCGATGAAAGTGGCTGTTGCGGACTGGGTAGTCGAATGTCAGACGGTAATCGGACTTCTCTTCCGGTCCACATAACAATGGTGTCTGACCAGTAGAAGCGTGCACTGTGCTCCGATATGCCAGCAAGCATTTTGCTAACATAGCGTCCCACTCACATTTTGATCCACAAAGGCCTTCAGTAGTGATTTCAGCGACCGATTTGTACGCTCAACTTGTCCGTTGCCTTGCGGGTGGTAAGCCGTCGTTCGCGTCTTGTCTATACCGAACACACGACAAAGTTCCTGAACCAACAAACTCTCGAAATATGAGTCCCTATCAGAGTGTAGTTGCCCCGGTGCTCCCCAGTGACACACCCAGTGATTCACCATCGCCGTTGTTACGGTGACTGTATCGGCTTGGGCGATCGGAACTGCTTCGCACCACTGAGTGAAATAGTCGACCATGACCAAGATGTACCGATGCCCACGTGATGTTTCTGGTAGGGGATCAACAAGATCTATTCCCACAATCTCGTTCGGGTAGCCTGCATTCATAGGCTGCAATGGTGCTCTCCGGGTGATGGTCGGGTTCTTGAATGTGGCGCATGTCTCACACGTCTGGCAAAAGTTAGTGACGTCTCTCTGTTGATGTGACCACCAAAACCGTTGACGTGCTGCCGCTTCAAGTTTGTTGATTCCAGCATGACCCAGCTGTTCGTGCAGTTCAGATAACACTTCGGAAACTAATGATTGCGGAACTACGATTCTCCTGATATAGTTTGGACCAAAATCAAACACTAACACACCTTCCTCGATGGAGAGCTTGTCGCACATCGCCCATAAGCATCGAGCTTCGTAACTTTTTCCTTCCATTTCCTTTGCGGTAGGTTTGTCGCTCCCCAATCGTCGTTTATCATAGATCGGTGATACGTCTGGGTCCGCTGCCTGTGCCTCCTGCCAGCGACCGTACTCCGAACTTTGAAGGTTAACTAGAGCTACGTGTTATGTACTACAAGACGGCAGTCTCCATGAGCACGAGTAGGAAGTCTGGAGAGAACGTCCGCGTTGGCGTGCTGTGCACCAGGTCGGTGTCGGCACTCAAAATCATACTCCTGAAGTTGTTCCTGCCATCTGGCGATCTGTCCCTCGGGGTCTCTGAAATTCTGTAACCGACGAAGTGACTGATGATCTGTTCATACCAGAAACTTCCTTCCTAATGGGTAGTGTCGGTTTTGTTTTATAAAGAATACTACGACTAGCATTTCCTTCCTGGTGGGGCAGTAGTTCCGTTCTCTTGCACTGAGGCTCCTACTGCTGTAAGACACCACTCGTTCTATTCCGTCCTGCCCTTTCTGCGACAAAACAGCTCCAATCGCCTGGTCGCTCGCGTCCGTGTCTAGAATAAACTCCCCGGCATTTGGTGACAGGTCGGGGAAAACCAACACCGGAGCTGCACAGAGGGATTCTCGTAACCGCTCGAAGGAATTTCGACACTTGACGGTCCATTCGAAGGTTTGGCCTTTCTGTAACAAAGTATTCAAAGGCGCTGCGATTTCCGAGATCCCTATCACCAACCGCCGATAGTATGAGGCTAACCCTAAAAACTGCGTAGTTCGTCAACGTTGGCAGGGGTTGGCCATAATCTCACTTTCTCCGTCTTACGAGCGTCAGTTCGAATCCCCATCCCCGAAATGATGTGCCCATGGTACCTTACTTCTGTCTGTAGTAAATGGCACTTTGTTGGCTGGAGTTTGAGGCCCACATTTACTATGCGCGTTAGCACCTCCGCCAAGTTGTTTAGGTGCTCATCTCTTGTTTTTCCGTGTACAATGACATCGTCCAGGTAAACGAGACACTTGTGGGGCATCAATTCGTGTAACACTTTTTGCATCAGGCGTTGAAAAGTCGCAGGGGCGTTAGAGAGGCCAAAAGGAATGGTCTGGAACTCATAAAAACCTGATGGTACTACAAACGCCGTTTTTGCTCTGTCGCTTTCCTCCACTTCTACTTGCCAGTAGCCGGAAGCCAAATCTAGTGTACTGAAATGCACTGATCCTCCCAGTGCATGCATGCAGACTGCATGCAGACATGCAGACTGTTGACAATTTTCTAAAGTACGGGACAAAACATCCAGTGAAGCGAAAAGTCTGGTCGTGGGGTCAACGACATCTGAATGGCTTTCTTCATCAGACTTGTCGTTCATTTTCGGCATGATCTTCATTAGACTAATGATGGTGGATTCCTGATTCTTGTGAATTGACAGGGTCGCCACTTTGTAACACACAAGCACGGAAGAACTCCAAGGGTTGAGAATGAAGTTCTATTACACAACACGTAGCCTCTACAAAAGATCATAAACATGAGGTAAATTGGAACAAAGGAAGTTACAGTTAACCAAGGTCGTTGTGTTCTTGTTCTCCTCCGGTAATTGAGCAGGAAAGGCGCTCTGAAAGGCAAACGGGAGAGAGTGCCGTTATTGCAACGATTCAACTTTGGACGCGCGCCAAATCAGTTTCGATTCTTCTCTACATTACTTCGCTGCTATCGATTTGTGGCGAGCGCACTGTATTAATATCCAACTGGCACATGTTTTCCTTTTCCTCTGATGTTATACTCTCACTTGTCATTATTTGTTCTCCTACTACCGAAACTTTTTGTTGTGTAAACATGCTCCGTTGCTTGCGCACACCGTTCACTTGATGTATTTGTCCCCCTCCTCCACATCTCGCGGACATAGACAGTGCGGATTACTGGCATGCAGATTTATGGAATGTATGAACCCATCTTCGGGCACTGCTACGCTTTGTGTTGTGTCAGACTTTCATCGGCGCTAGGTTATGTATGTGTGCGAATGTACCTGTTCACAATCATTATATGTTATGCGTGGGTTGCACTCTGATTGTGTGGATGAGTGGATTAAGTCTAGAGTGGACCCCAGCTTGCCAACTGTCGCGTGCCTCACGATTTAATTCCCTTGGACTTGTGCGACCCGGCCGAAGCATTTTTGATCATAACTTCGTTTGCGTTCTACCGCCTCCTTGTGGAAAAACCCACACGCTCATTTATCGTTTTCAGCAGCGTAGACTTTCCAGTTGGTCCCGGTTCTTACTCTTATGCTTTCTAGACCCGCGATATCTATCCCCGTAACCTTTTGACTTCTTAATAGAACTTCCTTTGATGTCACAGAGCTTTGCCCTGATAACTAGTTATCCATTTGTTCTCTCAACGCTGTTGCTTGCTCTTCCATGATAGAAATGGGTGTTCTTCCCGAGTTGTCGAAGGCCGTGCAAGAAATGGACTGGATTCTTCCCACAGATATTCAGAGTGAAGCAGTGCCTCTCATTTTAGGCGGCGGTGACGTCCTCATGGCTGCTGAAACCGGAAGTGGGAAAACTGGCGCTTTTTGTTTACCTGTGCTCCAAATTGTCTACGAGACACTGAAAGATCTGCAGTCAGGGAAGCAAGTGAGTGATAAATTTTGTCTGATGGCAAAATCTATCCTTACAGGGGAAGCCCGTCCCCTCAGTCAGTGGAGGCCAAAAAGCCGTGAAACTCAACGCATTCGATCGGACCGATGCGATGGCCATCGACGCCGATGGTCTTCTTTGCCAGAGTCGCGATCCTGGCGGTTGGCATGGTGCTAGGACCAATCGGGGCGTTCGAAATTCCGGTGAGTGTTGTGCTTGATTAATTCTTTACCTCCGTGTTTTCGGATATGCATCGCTGATAGTATGCTAATTTTGCGTGCGGCTGACTTTGGTCCATTCAGCCAGCTATGACTCAACTTCCTTATTGAATTAGATCCAGTTGCCATCAGCATCTTCATATATATATATATATATATATATATATATATATATATATATATATATATATATATATATAAAGCAAACAGAGAATGAAAGCGAATAACGACATGTTTACAATGAAGAGGAATGATGCGGCATCATGATTGGTTTCATGATGGAAGGCCACACAGAAATCGCGCACAGCAAAAACCCACGCGAAGAATGCCCACAGAGATGAATACCCACACAGACAAATACTCGTGCGGATAAATTGTACCAGTCTGCTAATTTCCCCGGTTCGCCTGATTAATCGAAAACTTTCCTACCATTGTACACTTGGTCGATCTATACGAAATGTTGCCTGTATGTTGAAGTCGTTTGATTGAACCGTAAACTGCTCACAGTCGCATCCTTCCCACAACTGCGACTCGCACTACTGCTCTCGCTTCTCTAGCTAGCACGCTTCAGCGGTGTACTTTTATAGCGGGACTCCTTAATACGCACACGGACAGTGTGTTCCTTCATTAATCCGTTTTTTGGACTGGTCTCTGGATCTGCGGTTATAAAATACTCACGTAGGAAAGCCTCCCGATTTGTTGAGGCTTTTTCGGACTGCATCAGATGAGCAGTGCTGTCTGTTGAATATTCAAAATGAATCACACTGGCTTTGGCACGTAGGGCTGTTCAGTACGTGCTGAGCGGTCTAACGAACTTGGGTGTTGTAGCAACATTATGTAGCTGCACGATATATTTCCGTAGCTGTTTTAAGTTAAAGTCAAAACCATCATCTTCGTAGTGCCACAGGTAAAGAATATCATCAATTTTGACAAAATTATTGAATCGCCCAAATGTAGGGACGTTAACTGACAATTTTGCTGTGGACGTTTTTCCGTGTAGTCAACTTTTCATTTGGGCATTCTTGTTCTAAGCATTTATCTCCGGGTTTTTTACTGTGCACAATTTTCGTGTGGGTTTTCTTCCGGTCACCATGGTAGAGCCCGAGTCTAAAGCCACTTGTGTTGATAGTCATTTAATCTTAGCTATTTTCATGTTATCGTCTGATCTCTATCAGTTTAAGATGAAAATCGCTACATCAGTGAGATGTCGATGACGTATCAGTGGCAAAGTTGCCACCCTTAAGATGGTTTTACATTACTGGTGCAGTTTACGCGAGTTTCCTTATTACCATTTGAGCATACACGATATTGCCACACTACTAAACTGAGATGAATCAGTTCCTGCGTTCACCGAATAATCACTCCAAATTACTGATTGGTTTACATATCGCCTCTGGGACTCAGATCACCCAACTCATTGATGTGTATATCAGCAAAGGAACTGTGTTTTCTTATGACTTTACTTCATGAGACGGGGAGGCATAAGTAGTCTGTCCGACATGGGAAGTGGAGCACTGTGATCTCATCGATATTGTCACAGACATTGGGAAGATTGTAATTCCGCTGTCATGTGCGTCCAAAGGCAACTGCGATTCCATGAAGTATTTTCCAAATACCAAGCAAGAGCACCTAGCGAGTGATAACCGTCGGTTGGTATTTGACAAATCTCTTATCAACACTAATTGCCGAATGAAGTTAAAACTTTTGCACTGCATTTTTTCGCAGCATTTTATTCCTGCATTTAACTCAACATTGCGCTGGGTATAGGCTTCAATGTAGGGTCTATTTAAACATCGCAAAATTCCGGAGTTCACGGGCATTTCGTCGTTACGTTAACAAGTAAGTGGGCCGAATTCAGAGGAGGCTGTCCACAAGGATTTCGGAACATGTTCCACGTAACCTGTTTGCAAACAGTCCAAAGCTACCAGATACCCCCATAGCCCGGACTATCTTTGATTGCCAACAACCGCGGGAATCATTTAAGATTAATAATCGACAGAGCACTGCTTGTTTCCTTTGGTTTGCATAACTTTCAGCAATTTGTCGGTTGAAACCTATTTTATGTAAGCACACGGCGCTTGTGACTACTCTCGCCTTGTCATGTTGAGATTGCCTACCAGTTTTATTCAACCCGCACGATTTTACACTTTGTCTTATCATTGTAACTTATTAATTCTACAGATTGTATATAAACAACTAATGAGAAGACGCGAAATATTTGAATTTAGATTTTTCTGTTGTAATGTTGTTCCTTCTTGCTATCTTGAAGTTTGTGAGGGGAAAGCCCTGCATCAAATTTCTCAAGAAACGATTCCTTCCTAATACATTTCACTCGCTTGACAATCGGTTGGATCTGCGCTGTTGCATCTCGCGTGAGACTACTCGCAGGTATGCTTATACTGAGTCATCATCATCATCCTTATACACCTTAGCTAGAGGTGGGAAACACCTCAGCTACTGTGTCACAATACGTAAAAGAAAAGGAAAATAAATACAACAGTTGCATGCCAGCTGAGTTACCAGCAACGGATGGGCATCGTTTCGGTAAACTACCAGCCGGCTATTAGGCAAAAAAAATTATTATGTAAAATTGTATTACGCTACGAAATGAGATCGTGCTTGGAGAGAGAGACTAAGAGGGATGGGGTGGGGCAAAGAAACTCACAGCAGGAACGCCACTGAAGTCGGCTCATAGCCATATCAACAAGTGCATCCAGCCAAACGTGTTTATCGTCTTTCGGACCCAACTAGGGAGCCGAGACGCTGCAACCGACGCCAGCTTCGAAGTGTGGGCCTTCTTTCTTCTCGACCAAATCATCGCTTAACCACCACTCCTCTTCTTCCACTCACATCCCCGGCGCGCAAACAACGCATGTCGCGGGAGTCGGTGGGCTGGCATGCGTAACACGTGGCCGAGTCATCGAAGCCTGGTGCGTAAAATAACGGTGCTGAGCGGTTCATTTCCTTTTCCTATGCCATAAATAAGGTCTCCAACATGCAAGTTGCTCACGCGGTGTTCCCACCAGATGTGAGCCAAACTGCGAAGGCACCGATGGTCGAACGTAACTAGCCTCTTTAGGTCCGCTGATCTTAGGGGCCAGGTTTCACAACCGTACAGTAGGGTCGAACGTACCACTGCATAGTACACTCTACCCTTCAGGGCGAACGTGATGTCGCTCCGGTGCCATAGGTGGCGAAGGCTAGCAAAAGCGCCTCGAGCTTTTGCTGTACGGTTCGTGATCTCATCTTCAATCCCACGGGCGCTGATACAACTTCCCAGGTAGTTGAATTTCCGAACGACTTATCGCTGATCCCCACCAAGGGTCAGCACAGGAGACGATCCCTGCCAATCTTGGAGGAGAGCTTTGCACTTCGATGGTGCAAAACAAAGCCCGAAGCGACTGACAGCCAGTGCTAATCTGTCCAGTACCACTTGGCACTTCTGGGAGCTGTCACAGATGAGGGCAGTGTCGTCTGCATAATCCAAGTCAAGAAATGGTTCTCCTGGGAGCAGCTCCACACCTTCTAAGTCATGTGCTGCAAATACAATCTCCATGACTTCGTCAATAGCGAAGTTGAAGAGGAAAGGTGACAGCGGGTATCCTTGTCTCACACTGCTGGAGATATTGAAGAGCGGCGAAAACTTATCGTAAGCCCTCACTCTGCCCATGCTACGCGCGTATAATGCTCAGCTCATATTTACATATTTCTCAGGTACACCTTTCCTGACTGGACAGTTCCAAAGTGCATGTCTATCCACCGAATCGAATGCATCTTTGATATCGTGGAACACGACAACGGTGGGCCGCCACTATGTGTGACGGTGCTCTAACAACTGCCGCAAGGGGAAGATGTGGTCGATGCAGCCACGACCCCGACGAAATCAGGCTTTCTCCTCACGAATCTGACTTTCACGAGCGCCAGTCAGTCTGTGAAGAGTTATGGAGGCGAGTAATTTGGAGACGATAGAGATCAGACTGATTCCTCAAGCCTCCTTTAAAGATGGGGACAATAACATAGCGGCTCCAGTCGGTTGGGACAGTTTCCTGCTCCCACAGTTTCACTAGTAACTTGTATAAATCATCCACAAGAGTAGGTCCCCCGAATTTGAAGAGGGCTGGAGGTAGATCATCTGGTCCCGCGGCTTTATGTAACCAGCAGTGCGATCTCCCGTTCGACTTCTGAGCGAGAAGGTGGATGCACAGGACAACCCAGGGAGTGGGGCGCTCAGTTGCCTTAGAGGAATCGAACAATTCTAGTCGATTAAATTACTTTTCAAAATGCTCAGCTTAACGTTCCAAGCGTTTTGACAAATTGTGGATAGGCTGTCCACTCTCGTCACGTATAGTTTCACTAACACCAGGTCTCCTGCTGCCCGTTTCCCGTATCAGACGGAATTACTTACGACGGTTTGTACTGAGTGCCTTCGGACTTTTACCTGCTCGCTTTACTTTATAGTCTATCAAAGGACAAATTGCCCTCGATTCCTTGAATTTCGCGATGTCTAACTTGATCCCACATTGCATTCAGTATCCAGCGCGTTGCCTACTTAGATGCTAACATAAAATGCTTCGGTAGTTTAAACCTTTTATGTCGCGCGCGCACTTTTTCAACTTTTATCAACCCATTTGTACGAATCAAAATCTGGTAAAATGTTAAAAATGTATTGGTTATAAACAGAACCGCTTCTTCTACTACATAGGAAATCGAGTTGCTTGTCTGCATTGGCTCCATGTTGTTCCCCTCCTTGTCCATCGCGACAAGACTGCACCTTGACGTGGTGCGATGCTTTGTGTGCCTCAGTGATTTATTGATCTGTGCTTTTTTGCATCTTCAGAGCCACTCATACCAGATTGGTCAATGGTTAGAGGCCCGACAAACTCAGTCTCCTGGCCATCCGGGTTTGGGGTTAGGGTGAGAGTGGCTCCTTACTTCATAAAACGGATTCCTCAATAGCCCAGTGCCAAAACCCCGTTGTCTTGCGGTAAGGTTTTTGTACCAATGGCTTCAGTTGAGAACCCTAATCATTATCCTGTCTAGGCCTGGGCAGCTTGACAGTATTCTGCCCCCACAATACTATGAACGTTTCTTCAAACAATTTCTTCATGGTTTAGCCATCGCACAGGATAATCAACGGCGCCCTATTTACTGCACCGAGTAGGGTGGGTATGGGTTTGGACGCTACTGCTCAAGCCTTCCCGTCTTCTTACTCCTTCCCTTGCGCTTTTTCACCCTTATCGTCCCGGTCCGACTTCACTCTTACCCCCCTGTTTTCAGCCCCCAATTCTTTGCCCTCCCCATCTTGGTTCAGGATTCCTTTATCTGCTAGTCCCGACTCATATGTAATCACAAGGCGTCAGTCCGGTTCAGTCGATCCTCCCTAAGGCTGGCATGCCTCATCTTGCCGATTGACCAACAGGCAGCACTTGCCCGAACACTGGAGACCTTATCAAACGATATCTGCAGCTTATCAGAAACTCGACTGCAGGATTCTAGTTCTGTAATTACCCTGCGATCCCCAACGTGCGACACTGGCGGTATTTTCTCAACGCGCTTGTCCGATGATGCACCTTCAAGCTTCGCTGATGTGTGCGTTGCTCTTAGCCCCCCAACTGAATATGCCCTGATCGAGTGGATCTTATTAAACAGCCGGATGTGCGCTGTCAGTTTGACTGGTTCGTTCAGAGCCTCGCAGTCGCATGGGGAAACGGTGCTTGTTTGTCATTGCGGCCTACGCGCCCACAAATTGTGGCGCTAACTCTGTGGAAGATAAATTCTATTGCCAACCGAACGCATTCCTCCGTTACGGATACTGTGGTGCTGGCTGGTGATTTGAACGCCCAAGTTGGAAAACTGTCCACTGATAAGCTTCATCTGGGGGGAGGGGGCAACACGGTGAACGGTTGCTACACTTGTGTGAAGATGCTCGTCTCTTTCTCGCGTGCACTAACTTCCGACACAGCACCTGCTCGTTGTGGGGACGGATTGCGAGGCACGATCTCTGGCTCGCAGCTACAACTCTGTGCCCCTGCGTTTATTAAGTTTTATCTGTGCACCCTCTCACACCAAAGAACACCAGTCGATTGGATGCACGATTCAGTATGTCATTTTTAAACTGTTTATTAGCCTGTTCTCCTTATCCTATTCACATTAACGTGGTCTGTGTAACGATTGTTGCAACAAATCCCAACCCTTCCCACTCTGAGGATTTTCACCCGATTTCCCTAAATTCAGTTTTCACTCGTTTACTTCTTCGTATTTCACTCGGTTTCTGATTTCATGTTTTCCATTCTGACCGCCTTCATTTTGGTTTTCTTCCTAAAGAGGGCCCCACGATATTACACTCCGCCATAAGATATTCACACTTGAACGGTGGTATCCCTTGCTTCTCTTACCGTTTTAAAAGCTTTTTATTCCATCTCCTACGCCACGCTACTTCGCGCAGCCTCCTCTTTCTGTGCCCCATCTTCTCTTTTACATTTCCTAACGTCTTATTACGCCTCCGGAATATCAACGATCCGCGGATTCATCCAAGGCCTGGAGTCCGTCAGAGATCCACTTACTCCATTGCTCTTCATTATGACCCTTAAGGAAGCATTACACACACCATCTGACACACTGGGGGTTTCCCCATCAGGGCCAATCGCTTATGTAGATGATGTCTTACTTTTTGCTCGCGACAGAGTATCCCTGACCGAACGCTTAGGTCGATTTAAACAAGATATACAACATCGTGGATTGTCAATGAACCACATGAAATCGGTACTACTTAGTATTGCCGTCGACTGGAGAATAAAATATTGCCTATTCAGGACACTGTGCAGCTTTCTTTTGACGTCCCTCGATCCAGAAATCCTAGGAATTCCGGCTACTTGGATTGCCATTTGGTTGAAAGGGTAAACTCGTCAGACCAACTCAAAGCACAGCTGCAGGAAACGTCTCCAGTCCCCTCACTCCTCACCAGCGCATGGACATCTTGCACACCTATTTGTAATTAGTAGGGGGATTATGGGGTTTTATGTAGATTCGTCGCAGTTACACTCAGGCAGACAGCCACCACACATCCAGGAAAACGCTAGACGGCCGTTTCGTCCGATTGGAACTCGTCAGTAGCGCGCATCCGCAGAATCCTGCCGGATTCGAACCCACGACCTTACTCTTGCTAGCCAGTGACTTATGCCACTGAGGCATGAGCGATGGCAACGAACTGCCATGACTGATATCTAACTGCGATATGGCACGGCTCATTCTCCACTGTCATGCATGTTACGAACGTGCAGAGGATAGGGACAGCCCGCAGAGCCACGACTTCCTTTGCAAGCCGCCACCAATCGAGGTAGCATGTATGTTGCTAATCGCCTTATTGGCTTGTAAAAGTAGTCGTTGCTCTGGCGGCCAACCCTGTCTTCTTCATGTTCATAACATGCATGACAGTGAAGGATGAGTCCTGCTATATCACAGTTTGATATCAGTCATGCCGGTGCACTACCGTTGCCCATGGCTCAGTGGCATAAGTAGCTGGCTTGCAAGAGTAAGTTCTTGGGTTCGAATCCAGTAGGATTCGGCTGGTGCGCGCTGCTGACGAGTCCCAATGGGACGAAGCGACCTTCTAGCGCTTTCCTGGATGTGTGGTGGTTGTCTACCTGTGTCCAACTTCGATGAATCTTCTGAAAAATCTTGCGCATATATTTGTTACCACGTCATTGCCTTGCCTCTCATTGGTGGTGGTCCACCGGTAAACCCACAAATCAACAATTAGGCTTTTCCGAGCAAGTACAAGAAAATGGCCGACTCCCCAATGACGCTTTCCTTCACGCCTAAACTGCGGATTATGGCCTAGCGGTTCCGTGCCTTTTAGTATGATCCCATTGCTTCGGAAGGGCAGCCTAGAATGCCACCTTTCACTCTCCCACCAGATTACCAGCTGGACAATACGGGAACCTTCAGCAGCTACCATCCAGCGTCTTGCCATGAAACCCGTGATCATTGGGAATCAAGTTCTCTTTGACAAAGATGATTCCACGGAAGCATGGACGAACTCACTGCTACAACCTATGGACGTATCCTTGCTTTTGGAGGTAATAACAACACCAGCATCTCACAGCTGGCTAACAAACTTTGGGAGAATTTTCCGCAGACTCTGCCTCAGAAGAATCCAACTTCGAGTGAGTGTGTTATGAACAAAATCCCGATGTCCCAGAGGATGATCACCCTGGAAACCAACCTTAGTGAACAAATGAAACACTTTCCCACGTCCTTCAGTCTTGTGGAGTAACACACGATGCTCGCTGTAGGAGACACAACGGTATCGTGAAACAAATAACCAACACCCTTCATCACGAACTGGTCCAGACCATTCCGAAACCCCGCATCCCAGCGGCATTAGCATACCTCAATCAATAGCTAATCGTCGTCATGAACTTCACAACACACGTAATGGACGTGGCAGTATGCGACATCTTCAAAATTGTCCGTACCTACCAGCTAAAAGTTGCCAAATACGATGTACATACTCATGCGGAACCCCCTTTGTGCGCTTGGAATTTCCTACGACATTAACTATGGAACATCACCCGATAATCATCAAAAATCTGCGCCGTATCTCCTCAGCCTCCGTCAAGCACATTTCGGCACTGGAGCTCACCAAACTTGACATATCCGACCTGTGTGTGTGTGTGTCTACCATAAGATGATCCCTACATGCGTGATGCAGTATCACCGAATATCTCACACTGACAACGTACATTCACACATTTGCGAGCGGTTCCGACCAACTTATTGCGTTTAACACGCTTACTGTTTCTATATGTTACGCGAAAACATTGGTCAAATCACGGCAAATCCATGTACTGTCCAGCTCTTGGGTCTTGCATGAATTTGCCGAAAATATATGTTCATGGACCGTGATTCGCGCTGAGTTGAACCTTGGTCAATTCGATCCCTGGGACCGTAATTGATGAAGCAGCTGTATATATTTGGTGTTGATCGCCCATCTATTCTTCCCTATCTTTTTATTTATACCCTGTTTCCAAGTTTAGCTGTTGACTCATTTTCTGTGCGAGACTTCGAAATGTTGGTCTCCAATTCCACTACTGCTAGAACCAATGTGCATTTCCCAATTCTCAGTTAATATGCGTCATTTCAATCCATCAGGTCGTTACTACTACGAAGCCACGGTAACAGACGAGGGATTATGCCGTATTGGTTGGTCCACCCTCCGTGCCTCCCATGACGTGGGCACAGATGCCGAAAGTTTTGGCTTTGGCGGCACTGGCAAGATGTCGCATCGCCGTCAGTTTGACACGTATGGAGAGTCCTTTGGCAAGGGGGACACTATTGGCTCCTTCCTCGATTTGGATCATGGCACCATTCACTGGTCCAAAAACGGTAAGTTCGCTGTGTGTTTTCGTCCATCTTGGCCTCCACCGTTTCGCGCGCAGTTGTATGAGGATTATATGTTAATTTCTGCTTCTTTTATGCCGTTTCACAGCGAATAAGCGAAAACTTAATTGGGAGCAGCTGTGGATGTTTGCTGATGACACGGAAAGTACCACTGTTGCTTCTATGCGCACAACATGCGCCCAAATACTTTCTTCCATATCGCGCATCCCCATGCTTAGCAACGACTCTGCCAATTCCTATCATATTTTGCACTAAGCTTTTATTCTGCGCCTTTTATACCTTATCGTCATACATTATTTGCCATAATGAAGCAACATAAATAAAAACTATTTATCTACTGTTGAATATCACTGGTTATCCTGTAGAATAATTAACCATCGAACCTCCCTTTTGGCAATCGTTGGCTGTGTACACCATTAGCTGCATCCAGCCTTGGATTTAGTCTCTTGACGCTGAGAACTTGCTTACGTGAGGGACGTTTGCAACAGAGATCGGAATGCAGTTATGCTGTGAGGTTGGAAACTGTAGCTGTTACCACGGTAAGAACACGTACACCAGAAGTGAGTCATCGCCCCCCGCGACACCGCCAGACCGTGTATGCTCGGAGCCGTCGCACGCCACTTGAAAGGAAGCCTGACACCAAGACAACCGTGAGAGCATCAGCCTGTCATTGAGGCTGCGAGCATGCGGTTTGTTACTCACTGTGGTATTTGTTTTGTGCTTAGTGGAATTTTGCTCGAAACCGAGTCTAACTTTACGCGCCTTCAGTCTGTTGGTATTTCGGTTACATCGTGTTGGGCACCTGTGGTGTTGCTCTTCTACCATCAGGCTGACATCAAACAGAAGCTACTCGGCCAAATCGGATTAGCGAATACGTAGGCATCCATTCTGCACACACTAGATGCATGCAGTAACTCAATTGCACTCATCAGCAGTACTTTATCATGCAACCGTCGTTAACACTTTAAATGAGGAAGTGCTTCCTTTTTGTTCCACTGTGCACACTACCTAACCTATTTGTACCAGTTTTACCATTCCATTAGTCGCGTTTGCCGTTCTCTATCTCCAGCTGTCTGACAGGCTTCATTTTACCACTGAACATGTCATTTTCCTCTTTCATCGTTCTCGGTCCTACTATGTCATGTTACTCCGTTGTCCCTCCACTCATAGACTTTATTCTTGTCCCGCAATTGGGCTGCACTCGATGCAATATGTTGTAGGAAATACTGCACTCAAAATATTTGGAGTTTTTATCGCAGCCTGATGTTCCCCTTGGTTCTAAGTCAGTACATCCCCACCGTTTCAACTTCGGTTGTTTTATCCCCATAGTGCATCATACCAAGCTTTTCATTTACACAGCTGAACCCAGACTATTTCACTTACATTTAACTATGAAGTAGGTCTGTTTAATGTCGTTGATCCCCAGGAGAGCATTTAAATTGAACTAATGAGTCTCCAAGGAAGCATTTAATAATCATTGCTTCTAAATATTTACTAATGCTGTATGTTGCCTGTATTTTGGTGCTCTTAAATTTCTGATTATACACAGTTCGGCTTAACTCACAACTTAATCCGATTATCGGAGCAAAGCTGGGAACTTTTCTAAACAACGTAGGATGCACTAGTGTAAACCAGGTTGCCCCTCATTGTTTTGATTCGTCGCCTAATCCACAGGTTTATAGTAGAAAAATAGGAGTGAGTTCACTGTGTGCCTTTGGTTCTTCTTTCCGTCCATCTGTCTACACACGCACAAACTCCACCGCTTTAATCTAGATGCCTTGTACACTGTGCACGACTAATGTTTACCCGTGTGACGATTCCTTCAGCTCTGTGAGCAGAACTGTCGACCCATTTTTCAACCATTTGGAATTGCCTACACAACATGTGCGAAATTGACTATAATGTGCTGCGGATACGAATCTTGGTCCCACTAGTCCATTGCCCAACTAGAGCATCATTGGCGCTGCTGCAAGTTTCAAACACTCAAGTGTACCGCGAGAACGACAACAGCTAGAGGTTGTATTTTGGTTCTTCCCGGTGTACACAACCACGATCGAAATGTTTCGACTTCGTGAGCTCGACAAGCTGGGTATGACATGAGACGCAATATGGCGGACAACTCAACGACACCAGTAGCAGTTCAGGGAAATGTGGCTTACCGCCTAAGTTTGCAAAACTAGTGATGAACTTATTGGAAGCCATCTAATCGGAGGCGACAACATAAGAACGTGAGACAGTTTCGAGATGCTTATCATCGGGACACGGGTTTCTGCCCGACGGGCGGTATCAGGGCTGAGTCGCGTCAGAAGCTGATGAAATCAGTTCATCATCATCATACGCGTTGTCACCCGACCTGCGGTACCACGGCTAAGTCATGTGGGAAGCTGATAAACTCAAACCGTCAACATGAAACAGGTTGCTACGAGAGATGATCGATTGTGCCCAATAAATTGCATTATGATCTGGGCCTGAGATCCTTCGGTCTAGCAGGTTTCGGTGTTCAGTTTTGTTCCCGGCTGGGTTGACGTGGCAGAGAGCCAGAGAGAAAGCAACCTTACAGCAGTGGCGACGTGAGCTTCATTTGAACCCGGAAGTGGCAGCCAGCTTCAAACAATTGTGGACACTTTAGCAGCAGCATTCAAGCTCCATGAGATGTTGACTCAGAAGCCATCGATATAGTCCAGCGCAGGGTGAGGGACAAGTGAGTGTCCCTTTTCCAGAAACCCTGACTCAGCGGATCAGTGAATTCCATTATGATACGGATACTGGCGTGACATTCGCTTCCTGGTTTCACAAGTATGAAGACACGTTTCGTGTTGATTTCGCACCAGTATCAGAAAAGAATAAAATTCGCCTGATACTCCGGAAGCTGGATGCGGATGAACATGAAAAGTTGACAAATTTCATCTTGCCAAAGAAACACACTGACCTGTCCTTTGACGAAGTTGTCTCAATCTTGTCACAAATTTTTGTTGAGCAGACATCCTTGTTCATATTCCGGTACGTGTCCCACGATGGCCAAGAAAGAAGACGAAGATTGGGTCACGTGCTCGGACAGTGTAAATCTCGAGTTCGAACGTTCACCGTTTCACAAAGTGACCGGCGACCAGTACAAGTTCCTCATTTACGTTTGCGGCCTACAAGCAGCCAAAGATGCAGACCTACGAACAAGGATACTGAGCACGATTGAACAGAATCCTGACATCACATTGCAACAAGTGACCGGTGAGTGCCAGAGAATGACGAACCTGTAGCATGAATGCATCAATGATTCAGCAGTTGTCCAACACGAGCGAGCACGACCTCACTTGTGTACTCAGCCGGACTCCCCAAAAAGCACCAACTCACGTGAGTTCGTCACATTCTAAACCTCTCTCTGCTTGTTGGTTTTGTAGAGAATGACATTTTGCTCGACACTGTGCATTTAAGGATGGCGTTTGCAACCGATGCGGCAGAAGAGGTCATAAAGAGTCGTGTTGTTTGGCACGTGGCCCTACTTTGTCCAAAAAGAAGCGCAACAATGCCACACCGTTCAGACAGCCCGGTGGGATCAGAACGATCACTGCGACTTTCAAGCTTGATAGCGTCAACAGACATAAGTACATCATGGTGGAAATCAATGGCAGGCAGGTCAAGTTACAACTTGATACGGCTTCAGACATCACTCTGATCTCCAGCGACATGTGTCGCGGGATGGGACGGCCAACAACCGTACAAACAACGCATACGGCACGGAATGCTTCGGGTGGTACGTTAAAATTGCTTGGTGAGTTATACAGTCAAATCATTTTTCGAGACCAACAAATCCACACAACATGCTGTGTGACAGACTAACTGGGGTTAGCTTTGCTGGGACTCGATTGGATGGACGAGTTGAACTTGCTCGACCAGTCGGTAAACAGTCTATTCCGGCAGTTGCAAGTCAAGCAATTTATGCAGATGCCAAACATGAACCCCTGAATTGCGCAACCAAATTGCAGACCTGAAGCGACGCCATGAAATGTTGTTCAAACTCGATTTCGGATGCTGTTGTGTAGTCAGGGCGGAGCTGAACCACAAATCAGATGTTAGACCAGTTTCCAGTCTAAGGCGTCCGGTGCCGTACGCAACTCAATCTCTAGTGGAAACCGAGCTAAATCGTTTGTAATCCGAAGGCATGATCGAATGGGTCCACTATTCAGAATGGGCGACACCGATTGTGACGGTAAAGAAAGCGAACGGTAAGGCCCGTTTCTGTGTTGATTTTTCAACACGACTGAATTCTGCGCTAGAGACGCATTAGTACCCATTGCCTGTACCAGAAGACTTGTTCTCCAAACTTAACGGTGGCAAATGCTTAGCAAAACTTGACCTAGCTGACGCTTACTTGCAAGTTCCAGTTATCGAGGAGCGCAGAACATTAGTAACGGTTAATACGCACCTCAGGCTTTTCCAGTACAACCAGCTGCCGTTTGGTGTGAAAACCGCACTAGCCATTTTCCAGCAAATTATGGCTACCCTGCTGAACGATATCTCCACTACCGCGGTTTACCTGGATGAGGTATTGATTTTGTTCGCAGACCCGCAAGACTTGATGCACACACTGGAGTGAGTACTTTCACATTTGGAAGAAGCTGGATTTCGATTACGGGCTGAGAAATGTGAGCTCATGTTAGATAGTGTTAACTTCCTCGGGTTTATCATAGACCAACATGGCCGGCGTCCAGATGCTGCCAGTATCGGAGCTGTCGAACCGATGGAGCTTCCGAAAGACGTCGCAAAGCTTCGCTCATTCCTCGGTTTCGTGAGCCATTACAGTGTTTTGATATAGAAGTAAATATTCGTAGCTCAGGTTGATTAATTGGTAGATGGACTGTGTTCTTGGCTTGGCAATTGTTTTGCAAACGTTTCGTCACTATTCGAGGGGGCATCAGTGCGTTAGGGTGTAGTGCAGTTAGTATAGCGATGCGTAGGTAAGTGTGAACGGGTAGTCACGCGCGTGCCTTTTTATAGGTCATCGTCATCGGTCGTTTGGGCATGTGACCTTTGAAAATGGCCCCTTCGACCCGTGACCACGGCCCGGTTGTCTCCTCTACTGGGAAGTAGCCTAAAGAGGACAATTCCCCAGCAGCGGTCAAAACAGGAAAATAAACAGGTGATTCTTCCCTTCATCAAGAAGGTTTCTGAACTGACAGCACGATTACTAGTCACCGTATCACACAGACCAACTGCCACACTGAGAGGGCTGTTTTCAAGACCGGACAAAATCAAACAAGGGAATCAGACCAATGTAATATACGGGATAAACTGCAGCGAACGTGATAGGCACTGCATCGGACAAACGGGAAGAAAACTTTCCACCAGGATCATAGAAAATAAGAAGGTCATAAGGAGGCATGACCACTATTCATTAGTTTCGATTCACGAGGATGAAGCTGGTCACCATTTTGATCTGGAAAACGTAAGGATTCTAGCACATGGGAGTACGAAGCAGACAAGAGAATTCTTAGATGCATGGCACTCCACGAAGAATTCGATCAATCGACACATTGAGTTGGACGCTATGTACGCACATCTACGAGCAATGGACTACCACAGCGATCGAATAATCTTATTGGAAAAGGGCGCCGTACAGACAGCTAGGCGGCATTCCCAGTAGCGGAGACAAACGGGCCGTGGTCACGGGGTGCGGGTCGAAGAGGACATTTTAAGGGTCACATGCCCAAACGGCCGATGAGGATGACCTATAAAAGGGCACGCGCGTGACTACCCGGTTCACAAATCGCTATACTAAGTGCACTACACACTAACACACTGGTGATGTCACCTCGACTGGTGAGGGAACGTTCATAACATAATTGCCAAGCTCAGAGAACAGTTCATTTAGCAAATAGTGTTTTCCAAGTTTAGCTTTGTTCTCCGAGCCGAACTATTTTGTTGCAGACGTTTCATCACCAATCGAGGTGACTTCGTCCGTGCGTACTAAGCAACAGTAACCATCCGAGATGTCACAAAATCAGCTGCATACGAACCTTGTTTCGCAGGATAGAATCACATTGTAATGCTGAGGAAGCAAAACGGAAGAAAAACCATCTGTTTACATCCTTCATGCGCCATGGATATCCACGCAATTCCATCCGAAGATACGTAACCTGCAAGACTACAAATGCTACACTTGAACCAACAACAACGAAACGGATCGTCTTGCCTTACATCAAGAACGTATCGGAGATGACTGCTCGACTCCTCAAGCTCACATACCAACCGCTACTCTGAAAGCAACCCTATCTAGACCGAAGGGGAAGACGGGAGCACATGAACGTCAGAACGTTGTCTACAGGATACAGTGTAAAAATTGTGATAAACACTATGTGGGTCAAACAGAGAGAAAGTTATCTACAAGGTTACAAGAACACAAGCGAGCCTGTCAAAACCATTATTCATCATCATTGATCTCGACACGCGTTGACGAAGAACGGCACATGTTTGATTGAGAGAAGACGGAGATTCTAACGCAGGGTGAGACAAGAAGAGGGAGAGCATTTCTCGAAGTATGGTTCTCTACGGAGAACTCGATGAACCTGCGCAGTGACTTAGACCCAGTCTACTATCAAATGCCAAGAAAGAACTTAAGGCGGGTCATTAACCACATAAGTCTAATAGAGGCGTCGATCGAACTACAAACTAGCAATGGTCACGGGACGGGAATCATAGTGACCAACTAGAAATATCACCCATCGGTCAATTTTTGCTTAGTACGCATTGTCGAAGTCACCTCGATTGGTGATGAAACATCTGCAACGAAATAGTTCGGCTCGGATAACAAACCTAAACCTGAACAGACAACCCGAGCTACAGGTATTCCGCTTTATTGCTACAGTGTTTTCCTATCTAGCTTGCATCAAACCAGCGGTTTGCTGAGCCATTTGCTGATGAAAGATAACGTCTGGCGATGGACGAGAGAATGCCAGCAGTTCTTTGACGCATTTAGTGCAGCATTCACTTCTGATCTACTATTTACTCATTTCAATCCGAACTTGCAAATCATCGTTGTCTCTGACGCTTCCAATTCCGGTATCGGCTCCGTTATTTCCCACATTTTCCCGAACGGAAGAGAAAAGGCTATTGCACACGCGGAACACTCCTTAAGTTCAGCTGCGAAGAACTGTAGTCAGATTGCAAAGGAAGCACTCGCAATCCTTTTCACCGTGAAGCGGTTCTACAAGATGCTCTATGGCAGGCATTTCACCCTCCTGACTGATCATAACCCATTGCTGTCGATATTCGGCTCAAAGGAAGGAATCCTCGTTTTTACCGCGTATCGGTTACAAAGATGGGCGTTTATTCTGTTCAGTGTACAGTATCAACCTACGTAACAAATCGGCCAAGTGGATGCCCTGTGTCGTCTCATCAATTTGCAGCCAAATGAGGAAGATGATTGTGTGTTTGCGGTCATCAAGTTCGAGTCCGAAGTCCAGTGAATCCTGACCGATAATATCAGAAGATTACCAGTGACAGCTGACACTATTCGCTCGGAGACTTCCCGAGACAGAACCCTAAAGAAAGTGATGCATTCCGTGAAAATAGGTTGGCCAATAGATGGTATACTTGCTGACTTGCGGCTTTTCTTCAACTGACGCTGGTCACTGTCCCTTGTGGACAATTGTTTGATGTTTGGATACCGAGTGGTGGTGTCAAATAAATTCAACAGGCAGTTCCATACCGGACATTCAGGTGCCAACCGTATGAAAGCCTTGGAACGCAGTTTTGTTTATTGACCCGGAATGGATTCAGAAATTGAGCAATTCTGCCAAACTTGTGTATCTTGTCATTTGGCGATGAAGGTCCTTCCCAACTGCCCCTGGAAACTTTGGCCTAAAGCAGAGAAGCAGCGAATCCACTTAGATTATACAGAACCAATCTCCGGTCAATCCTACCTTGTTTTCGTGGACACTCTCCAAGTGGCCCGATGCAAACTCCGACTGCCCAGCACACAGTCAACGAGCTGGATAAGCTGTTCCAATATTCCGACCTGCCAGAGCTACTAGTGACAGCCATCGGTACACAATTCACTTCAGCTTCCTTTCGCGAGTGGTGCAAGGAGAAAGGAATTCAGCAGATGTTCTCACCACCCTATCATCCGCAATCAAACGGATGGCCCGAACGGTTCGTGGATACGTTTAAACGTGCTCTTTGTAAACTGGGACAAAACAAAGTCCCGAAGGACGCGATCCAGTCTTTTCTGTGCATGTATCGGAGTGCGCCAAACCCAAACGCTCCAGATAGAAAAGCCCCTGCCGGAATTTTCTTTGGACGGAAGATCCGGACATTGTTAGCTAACCTTGTACCAAGCAAAAAAGCTGATCATTGAATTTGTCAACTGGATGAAAATCCGACAGGCAGCCTCTGTCATTTCAAAATTGCTGACATGGTGTACGCACTAGACGTCCGAGAACCGAGGAGGTGGTCGACAGGAAGAGTGATCTGCGGAAAGGATCTGTTCATTTACGAGCTAATGATAGTAAAGTAGAAATGGGTCAGGCACGCCAATCAGCTGAGGCCAAATCACGGCAAGATTCAGAACCGCCATCCTTACCGTGGGACATCCGGATAGACACGTTTGGTTTGGAAGAGGAAACCGAGCGGCTTCATGGATCACAACAGAACCTGCAAGCACCAGGTGACGCACAATGCAGGCCGACCCGGAAGCGGAAACGACCAGCATGGATACAAGTTGACCCCAAAGCGAAAAGATATGCACAAACTCGAGTTCTAACGGCATGCAAGCTATCTCAATTCGAAAGAGGAGGTATCTGAAGGCCGCAACTTGCGAACGTGACACGGTTTCTTGACGTAAAGTGGGCCTACGGCAAGGCGCTCGTAAAGCTGATAAAATCAGTCCGTCATCGTGACATGGGTTGCTGCGCAACAGGCATGAGTGAGTGCGACTACAGTTGGCCAGTGTGGACCGGTAGCAGGTTTGCAATCTGTCCAGGCAACTGGCGTGTATCAGCTCAGAAACATGCAGCCGGAGATGATAGCATGTGACCCATAAACTTAGCGGTTCTTTTCCTAATACCCTTCGGTCTGTTAGGCTTCGGTGTTTTGTTTCTATTCTGGCTGGGTTGGAGGGGCAGAGATCAGAGGGAAAGCAACGCTACAACACTGCCAGCAACCGGAGCTGCTTTTTACTTTAAAATGTTCGTCCATAATAGTCAGGTAACATAATAATATTAAACAAACCTATTTCCTAATTAAATGTATGGTACCGCCGGAGAGGAAACCCTCCAGCGATGAATCGATCGGCTACCGTTCTTTGACGCAGTAACATTCAGCACCCTTCGTGGCAGTTTCTTGTACACCGATTGCTTCCTTTTCAGTGCACTTCCGCACACCAATCTGTATGTTTCATTTTGATTAACATTTTCATCCCACTGACTTTTCATTTCTTTCACGATTTTGCCAATCACATATCTCACTTTCTTACAGGCAGGGCATTCTCTAAGGCCTACGACGTTCCAGGACCACTGCGTTCCACTGGTCTTTTTCCCTCTGTTTGTCTGAAAAATGCCGAATTGCGCTTCAATTTTGGTGACTCTCCATTTGTGCACCCTCCTCCCGCTGGTTGGATGGCGGTCAGTTCGGCTTCTGGTTCCAATGTTGCTGAGTCAACACTTACCGGTGAGTCAAAACGCGAACGCACACCCGCCCTTTCAATAGGTTGCCTCTCTCCGCATCCAGTCGCCTCATTATTCGGTTCCGAATAGGTCATCTCTTTTTGCATATATCTGTTTTCATTTTTTCAGTCTTTAAACTAAGGATCTGTAATCATTTTTCTCATTATCCTCAATTACTTGACAAAGTTTTTGGCTATGCGATGTAGACACAGTTGTTCCACTTGCTTTGTCGCCCTTGATCGAATATCATGTTTTCTATGGATCAGCAGGCTTTCTCGCTCTAACGACGAATGATTCTCAGTAATGCAGCACCATCCTCAACGTTCGTGTTCACACTAGAAATGCACTCACACTCAGACTGCCTCCGGTTAATCCTTCTCCATCACATATTGAGACATGTGCGCTCATCTCAGACTGCTACTTTAGAAAATTCCTCAGAGCGTTCCAGGAGATTATCTCATTTGAAATCGACGTAACTATTCTAACTCTATCCTTAACCTTCACCGGGTAAACGGAGCATAATGAGTTGCCTGCATTTTTCAGATTAGTCCCCGTAACTTTTATCTCGCTACTCCTTAGACTCAGAAGGCTTTTCACGACAATTTGGGTGCGCGCTAAACTTTGTCGCCGAAGAGTCATACTTGATTCAGTCATCCTAGACTACCCTGGAGTTAAAGTTTTTCCCAATGACCGATTGTCAAGGTTGTAGCACGCGAACGACATAACTCTCGTTTGGTCGGATCCAATTTCTGTACGAGCGCTTCTGGATACTTTCAGGCAGGGTGTTACCCACCTTGGCATATTCCTCACTCTGTCCTAGTCCACTGTACCGTTGCAGGACTAGATCGACACGTCTAGCACCAGCGACTCGAACTTGTTGGCGGTTATCACTTCTGAGGGAGTTGCTACGTCTATCCGCACTACTCATTTTATTGTGCGAAAGCCCGATCACTTACTTATGGAGATGGCAAATCATCGTTATTTCTTTGAACTACGGGGTCTTCAACGCCGCTGTATCACCGGTGCTCTTTACTGATCAACATTTTAGCAACTTTATATTGAAAACATTTGGAAACTGGTCAGGAAGCCACGTAAAGTGCTTTGAACTATGTTGATGATGTTGCCTTGCTCGGTGACGACCCAACAGAGTATGCACTCCATTGTAAGACGCTTGACGATCAAAGCTGCCACGTATGGCATGACATTTGCCAAAGCGAAATGCAAAATCCAACCCCGGGAGTGACATGCACCTGCCCGCATGCTCATTCTTATAGGCGCACAGCTTGAACAAGTGAATAGTTTCATCTGTCTGGGGAGCTGTGTTTCTGCTTTTGGCATCATTGGAAGGGAGCTTTCTCTTCCTGTTGCCAAAACCCGGTTAGCTTTCGCCAATCTGAGACACATGTGGCATTGTCGGGACGTTTTACTCTCGCCACGAGGCAAGGTCTACAGTGGCTGTGGTACTGTTGTATAGTAGCGAGTCCTGGCCAGATGGTGTACATTACATGCGTCTGATTCCGGTCTTTGATAACGCTTGTCTGCGTTAGATAGCTCGTGTGTGGTGAGAACATTAGTTCACGACTATGTTAGACGTTACGCTCTACGTAATGCGGACCCTCCTATCGACAGGTTTGTATCGCTGCGCGAACTAAGATGGCTGGGTCACATCCTACTCATGTCGTGCGAACTATTATCACGACGCGCTCTATTCGATCGCGCATGGACACATTGTAAAAATTATGTGATGGTTAACCTAGCACATGGCAGCAAACTTTCCAGCTTAGCTATCGTCAGTCCCGTGCGTCTTCCGCGCTGGAGAGCCCATGATGAAGAACACAGTTGGCTGGGAGCCATTCAGGATATGGCGCGTAATGAGGCTTAATGAAAGGCTTGTATGCTTTTATACACTAATTTCGCCGATTAACACCACAATTATTAAACTGCGAAGACAAACGACATATGAAAAACACAAAATATATCTTTCTACCCATTTCCCTTATTATACGTATTGCACTTCTTACGCACATTCATTTCTTGGTTTCCTATTGCACTATTACTTGCATATGTATATATATATATATATATATATATATCGCATGTGAAAAACAAACTCTGGGTGCAGAAGCGACAGGTGCCGACGGAGGATAGCATATCGACGCCGAGCGCGTCATACCCTAAGACATGCGGTCGCAAGTTCTTGAGCCAAGTCGGCTTAGTGAGCCACCAGCGTTACCATACAGGTCCGACATCGAATAGCTTACCGGTCAGTTGAGCGGGTACTTACCAAGCGCAGCGTTTGGTAAGTGCGCTGCTTCCGTTTCAATCCGATTTACTAATGTAGGTCAATAAGGCGGTTGATGTGATACGTGTGCTACTTCGTCGTTGCAGTTGGTCTGTACGTGTGCTTGCGTGTTGAAGTTCTTGCATTTTAATGAGAACAGGGAGACCATTTGGTGAGCAGTTACTTTCAATGATTCATCATCAGACCAGTACAATCATATATAGGGCTAAAAAATGGAAAGAGTAAAATCGACCAGTTAGTACAAGTAACTGAGACGAAAAATCGAAGCGAGTTACTTACATGTTACGGAGTTTGACATGTCGCTAACTTCACTATCCCCGTTTTCTCTGACCTGTGAAACTTTAATGCCTGGACTAGCTTCTTTTGCGAGCATAAGGACGGTTGAAATAATCGAATGCAGATTTCATTTCTGGTGATGCCTGTTGCTTGATATCCTCGATGTAGCTGCACTTGATGTGAATGTTGACAAGGTGCCTACTTGTCTGCCACCCATCATCTCGTGTATACTGGCTCCAGAAGACTGAAATGTTGCTGAGAGCTCACCGTCCTCTTGACGGTGCTTGGCTCAAAGAGCGGTTCCATCCAGTATAGAGCGGACTACGGCCTAGTCACCGCCTTGTGTACATCTGGTACGTATGATTCCCAAATTAGATAGACAGGGATGCTACTGCTGGGCATGCTGGTGGTGGATGGGCCAGTTCCGTTGATAAAACGTGGCTCCCATCCGCATGCCTCCCGGTCTTATTCCTTCGGGTTTACACTAGATATAAGGTGTGTGGACAGAGCGGTGAGTTTTGCAGCACAAACCACCTATGGCCCATCTGTAGGCGCAGGCGTCCTGTGGCTGTCCCCATGGCAGGCAATTCCGGATTCGGATAGCGCCAACGACGGTCGACACTGTCATGCACTCCTTCTAATTTTTGTATTCAACCGGCAATTTGCTGTTCTTTCCACTGATCAACTTCGCTTCTATCACTTCTTCCTTTTAGGGTCTACTGTTAGTACCCGATCAACTCCAAAGCCTAATGCACCATTGGCCTTAATTATGGAGGTTAGTCAATTCCCGAGCTACTCATCATTCTGTTTCTGCCTCTTCTCATCACCCAGATACCAGTTTGTTTCACACGGATGTGCTTTCCGCGAAACTTATTTTGTTTTTTACGGTTCTCGTTCTAACTAACCCTGGTAGACCGGAAAGAAGCGCACATGAAAATTGCGCACAGCAAAAATCGCAGACGAAGGATGCGCACACGGAATTGTGCCAGGTCGATCGCTAGGCACATACTTGACTACCTTACGGGCCAAAATCCCTGTGATTCATACAGAGTACTCAAGAGACAGAGCACTCTTCGCTTACTACAGTTCAGCAAGCATTACTCGTACAATCAAGTTCTGCGCTCTTATTGCAAAATCGAGACTTTGTATACGATATTGCCACCTATTCTAACACGAATGCTTTGTCAACCGTGATTCACATGACACATTAATGTGAAAATGGGCCTTTTTCCACGCGAGTACTTTATAGCGCAGGCCCGGAGATCGCTCCAGAGGAACAGAATCATGAAAAGGCACTCTTTTATTTTGCATGTGCGGCTTTTGCTGTGCGCTCTCATCATGAAACCCAAAGAGGTTACCTCGGTTTTCATGGTTACACACTGCCAGATGTTGTAATCACTGATTTTCACGTACGTTTGTGGCTGCATACTGTAGACAGTACCTAACCAAATCAGGGTTTATCGGTACCCCTATCTTTTGTAACTGGGTTTTTCCTTTTTATAGCCTTCTCGGGAATTGGCTGAACAAACCTATGAACAAATCAAGAAATTCAAGCGCTATTTGAAAGATCCGTGTCCACGAGAGTTGTTGATCATTGGTGGAGCCAATGCCAAACAGCAGCTGGATGCTTTGAGTAGCGGCGTAAGTGTCTTGTGTCGTTTTTACATTTGACGATACTGTTGGGCTAAAAAAATTGGTGTACACACGTTCCCACACGTCATGTACGCGCAGAAGTAATATGGACTGTGAGGGACGCCTGTTGTATCAAGCAGGGTGGATAGGGGTTTGGATGCTACTGCCCAAGCCTTCCCGTCTTCTTATTCCCTCTTACGCTTTTTCACTCCTATCGTCACATTCCGACCTCACTTTTATCCCCAATTTTCAGCCCCCAATTCTTGGCCCCATGTGTAAACGCGAAGCTTCACTCCTACCCTGTTGACAAACCCGTATCTAACAAAGCGGTCAAAATCAGTACATTGGCTTCTGTTTGGAGCCTTCGATCCACCTTCATATTGGCATGCCTCAACGTATGCACATTGTTACTTCTCAGACACTTGCCCAACTATTAGACCCTCTCGATCGATATCTACTGCTTGTCGATAACACAACTGCATGACTCGAGCTCTGTGCTCGCTTAGTGATCTCATTCCAATGACACTAACAGTGATTTCTCATTACGTCTACCCGGAGACGACTCAGCTTCGAGTACCAACCAAGCTGGTGTTGGTATTGCCCAGTTCCAGCACTGAACCTGATCTGCTTGATTAGATCCCCATCACCAGTCGGATGTGTGCGGTCCGGCTGGCTCGTTCAAAGTTTTGAGGTTGCGCGGGACTACTATCTGTTTGTCATCGCTGTTTACGCGCCCATAAACTTTCTCCATGACTCGGTAAAAGACGACTTATATCGCCAACTGCACGAGATCTTTCATCACCGATGGAGTACGGCCATGTTAGTGCTTGCTGAGGGTCTGATCGCTTAAGTTGGATGATTGCCCCTTGACAAGCTTCATCTGGACGGCTAACATGGTGTGCGTTTCCGTAATGGAAACGATGTGCGGTTACTTCATTTGTGTGAAGATGCACGCTTATTTCTTGCGAGCACTAGCTTCTGACACAGCACAGCAGGGTGAAATGACCCCACCAGCCTTGGACGCAAATCGATTACATTTCGATCATTTGCCGCTGGTGAGGTGTGTGGACACTGACCATGCATTTGTATGTACTGATCTGTGGGTACGTTTTTTGCCGACGTCCACGATGATCCTATGAGCGCACAGACACCAGCCAACTGGCGAAACCTGATGTTCTGAATCCGTATGGAAGTACGCTGGCTTTCGGTTTGAGCAAGCGTTCATCAACTACAGCTAAAGGTCACTGGTTGGGTGCTCACCAAAACTTACTAGCAGCAGGTAACTTCTAATATGGTGATTCAAATTGCCAACATGGATATTGGGTTACTTCACAGTCTCTGGAACTTAGCGATGCTCACCGACACATTCCGGCTGGAAGCGAACACAGTGAGACTCGCAAAGACCTCAGGGCAAAACTCCGTGTTAGTCTGAAGAGAGACCGCGAATCCTACTGGTCTCATCTGCGTCAGAAATGGAAGTGGCCGCTGCCTCTGGTAACCATCGAAAGTTATTCCGTCTGCTACGGGAAACGTGCAGCACGTGACCTGATTTTAGTGAAACTATATGTGACGAGTGGACAGCCAGTCCACAACTTGTCAAAATGCTTGGACATTTAAGCTGAGTACTCTGATAGGCAATTTAATCGCCCGGAATCGTTAGATTTCTCACGGACGAATGATTTTTCCTACTCCCTGATCGATCACTTTGGGTCCGCCCTCGCTTAGAAGCCGTACGTGAGATCGGGTTGCTCAAGTTGAATAAGCTCACGGAACCAGATGATCTTCCTCCAGCCTCTTTAAATTCAGGGGCTCTCTTCTTGTTGCTAGTGGAACTGTGGGGGCAAGAAACTGTCCCAACCGACTGTAGCCGCTCCGTTATTGTTCTAATTTTTAAGGTAAGCTCACCTTCGGAATGCGGCAACTATATAGAGGAATCCGTCTGATCTCCATCGCCTCCAAGTTACTTGTCTCGGTCATCCTTTACTGATTGACTAGCACTCCTGAAAGCCAGATTGGTGAGGAGCAAGCTGGGTGTTGTCGAGGCCGGAGATACACCGATCACATCTTAACTTCGCACCAATTGTTGTAGCACCGTCACACATGTTGGCGACCCACCGTTGTCATGTTTCTCGACATTAGTGGTGCCTTCGTTTCGGTTGCTCGATGTGCCCTTTGGGATTGTCTACTCCGGGAAGTTTTGCCCGGGAATTATGTTGATAAAAACATAAATCAGCGAACAAATCCATTTTCTGTGGATCTCGTCAGGCTTATACATCACAACTGATAAGAATAAAATCAGTTAAAACATCAGACAAGGTAAAGTTCAAAATTTTAGGTCATCTAAATGACGAACTTAGGTGGTTGGTTCAGAAATGGTCAAGGACATGTCAGTTTCATGTTCTTCAAAAGGAGTCACTGTTATGCGGGAAAAGATAAAAACATAAAGGAAAACCCATTATTTTAGCAATTAATCGATTATCTTCGATCGTACATTCATTTCGAAGATTCCGGAATCTTCCACTCCTTCACATGATCGCCAGCGTACGGAATTTTGGTAGGGTGGCTGCCAATTTTACTAGTTGACCTTCGTTTTCTAGAAGCCGAAGGTCATTGAGCCCCCTATTTATTTGGCGTAGGTCTGGCGTAATTTGTACAGCGTTTTGGCGGCGTTTTTGGCTACGTTTGGTAGCGTTTTTGTTAACACGTTTTTCGCGGTCAAGATTGTTGGACTTCTGATTTTTCTTCGGCTGGGCTAGAATATTTGCGGAGAAATTTTGGGTGTTTAATTCGGAATAGCGAGAAAACGTGAAGATCTAACAACTGTGATATGTGGCCAGTGTAAAGAGAGAATCTGGACCAATCGTTTATGTGCACATAAGTCTGCGTTCTGGAGACGGATAGCGACCGCCTCGGCTGTTGCTGCTAATCAACATCTTACCGCTCGTTTGTGGAAATCAGGTTCACAGTAAATGGGATATTTTCTCGTTTGAAATATGTAACTATTAAACCTCAATGTTAGCAAACATGTTTTCAATAATTCTTCAGGCTAGTACAAGCATATACTAATTACTTCGATTAAACAGATTACGGAGTCCTTAAAACGGGGTAAAATCAGTTTTCAAGTGGTCAATTATCGCCAATAATCGGGTCAATGTCGGAATCTTCACACGATCCAACTGAGTAAAATTCACTACTCGATTGGGTCAGTGCAATTGTAAGGCCTAAACAAATCGCTTCTGAGTGCACAACTTGTTCGTACAACCGGATTGCTATAGCTTCAGCGGCTTCTAGTATGCGTCTGCGCATATACCTTGATCGATTAGTTAGGGCCTTGTAGATAATTTGGAATGCTTCGTCTGGCCTAGGGTTGTGGCTTGCTTCGGCAAGGTGGGCAGCTATGGCTGAGTTAAATACCCTTCTGCATCCGGTCGCTAGCTATGCCGGACGGTGTTCTTTCATTCTCTCGGATAGACACCTAGTAGTACGACCAATGTATCCTGAACCACAGAAACAGATAAAACAATAGATGCACATAGTTGTCGTGGACAGGTCTACTATCCTTGATACTGAGCTTCATCATCGGTGTGCTGGTAAAGTAGGTATGTAACTTATCTGCTGGGAACGTCCGTCTAAGCTCCTGTGATAGACGGCGAGTAAGAATTTCTGCAGCGACTTCCTGTTTGTAAGAGAGTTGCAAGAAAATCTCTTTTCTGTTAGCTGTTAAAACAACCGGTTTGTTCTCTTCACCATGTGGACTTTTAAGAAGTTATCTGGGTAACCATTTTCCCTCAGCAACGAGCCTATTCGCTGTAATTCACTTGCTAATGTATCATGCGAGCAGATTCTTTCTGCTCTACTGGCCAGATTACGAATTAAATTCCGTTTCAACCTCGGTGGCGCGAAGCTGTGAAAGTTGGTGTGCTAGCCGTTCCACGAGTTGACCTGATGTGAACTGATTTTACCTCGTTTTAACGACTCAGTACTCTGTCTAATCGATGTAATTGGTACAATTTGTACTAGCCTGATGCAGAATTATCGAAAACATGTGTTCGACAACATTGACTTTTGATTATCTTTATGGGTTTCTTTAAAACTGTAAAAGCAACTTGGACCCACCTATTTTGAAACTGCTCAACAGATATATAACTATCATCCGAGCGCTATATGCACGTAGCTCGGGTAGAGTGAGAGCTTGCGGTAAGCTGTCGCTGCCATTCAGTGTCCCCATCGGTGTAAGACAAGGAGGCCTGCTATCACCTATCCTCTTCAACTTCGCTATTGACGAAGTCATGGAGTGCGCGTTCATAGGACATGACTTAGAAGGAGTGGAGCTACTCCTAGGTGACCGACTTCTTGACTTGGAGTATGCTGACGATATTGTTCTCCTCTGTGATAGCTCACAAACCTGCCAAGCTGCAATGGACAGCTTAGCGTTGGTTGTCAAGTCTTTCGGCTTTTGCTTTGCACTCTCAAGTTTGACATGAACCGCCTCCTGCGCTGACCCTTCGTGGGGATCAGCTAGAAGTCGTTTAGTAATTTAACTACCTTAGCAGTTGTATCAACGCCGATGGAGTCGAAGACGAGCCATGTTTGCTAACCTTCCTCACTTATGACGCTGGCGCGACAACAGTCTCTTTGAAGCTTAGCGTTTTTAATGCAGCCGTACCTTCGACCCTACTGTACTGTACCGTTGTCAAACCTGGCCCATTAGACGGGTGGACATAAAAAGCTACTTACGTTCAACCACCAGTGGCTTCACCATTTGACTTATATCTGGTGGGAACCCCGTGTGTCTTGTTTATGACATGGGAAGAGGAAATGAACTGCTCAGCACAGTTCTTTCCAGCACCAGGATCCGTTGACTGAGCCACTCGTTGCGGATGCTAACACGCCGACTCCCACGATTTGCGCTGTTTACGCGTCGCAGGTGCGGATGGAAGAAGATGAGAGTGCGCCAAGCAATGACTTGGCCAAGGTGATTGAAGGCCCTTAGTTCAAAATTGGTCTCG